TTTTTTTTTTTTTTTTTTTTTTTTTTTTTTTTTTTTTTTTTTTTTTTTTTTGGGTTTTGAAGTATTATATTTAGGCGCTTATGCTTTAAAAATATTTGGTTTTTTGGTTGAAAACCATATATGAGAAGGATACTAAGAAACTAAAACGAGAACCAAGTTTTCTAGAAACAGAAATGATATCCCTTTAAAAACTGTGAAAAATGGCTAAATCGTTGAAAAGGGTAAGAATATAACACAAAGGATTGCACACTTGGGACAAGTAAAATCTAGTTAAGCTGTACAAAGGCCCATAACTAACCTTGAAGCTCAGCTACTTTTAGCATTTGAGACTGCCACTATCCCAGAAGTGGAAGAGTCAACTACCATATGGAACACTGTATATGGATTGACTGGTTCTCCAATGGGCGAAGCTCCGAAGGAGTTCTCTCCTTAAATTGGAAGCATAATCTTCCCAAGCTGCTGCTACTGCAGCAAGCTTAGCCCACCCCAACCGGTGTTGCTTCTCCTTGACATCAGAACTAGCATACAAGAAGACTGACTCCGCCAGTGCATCGTCCTTTGAGAACTCGGATTTAAAGTAATCGACTCCCACATTTCTCTTTGGAGATAAACCTTCTGCATAGCTTGAATCTTCCTTGGAGTTAGTAGAATCCAATTCTTTGCCTTTCCAATATAGAAATTGCACTACCTGTTTAAGCAGGTGTAGGTAACTCGTTTTAGCAGACTTTTTCAATGAGGAAACTACATAAAACGAAGTGAATTAATCATAGTATTTGACGATTCTGAATATGACAACTTTTTTTTTCTCGTTACGTGAAAAACGACTAGATTCTGCTATATAATCACAAGGGGGACTAATGTTGAGGGTGATTTCGACGGAATACCTGAAGTGCATGCAAAATGCTATCAAACTTCTGAGAGAAGATCTTATTACCACGTACTAATTGTACATCCTGTGAGAATAAATCTGGATACTCTGACAAACTATGGTCCTGAGGAAAATAAATGCCGTATCCTAGCGCATGCAGTCTTGCCCAACATATATCAAAACCGAACTTGAAATTTGGATCGTCTTTTGGTGAAAACCAATACATATTACAGGATGGAGGCTGAGGTAGGCATGAGTCAGGAAGACGATCGTGTAAATGGCTTTGTGAAAGAAGGGAAACAAGTTTTGCATCTTCATCATGGGAACTATCACGGGTGAACCATAATGTCAGCGTAAGTCTTTCTCCACTGGTTACCTATCCAAGGAAACCACGTGGTAAGCAAGATGAAGTACAGCTGTCTACGAGAGGGCTACTGGCGACTCTCTTGAGGATTAATCAACATGCATGATTCCTCAGTTACAGTAAAAGAAAAACAGCAAGAAAGAATTAATGTGCTCTCTATCGGCTTCGATGACGAGGCTTTTTTGAATTACCCTTTGATCTTATTTTACTGGATTGAAGCCTTTTTTTATATAGTTTGACTCCCATTTGTAGGCTTTAATTTTATATAACTTGTATTGTTTCATTTCTTCTCAATGAAAGTTAGATTATTCCTCAAAGAACCATGGGAGAGATTTGATGTTATTCATTTAAACAATGATTTCACATGCAGATTCAGAGGGCCAGAGTGTTTGGACATACCTCATCAACAGAATGAACATTGAGGCTGTCAGCCGTGTACATCACACAATCCTGATAAAGCGAAACATGTATTAACTATACTTGATTGGTACATTGTTTCAAACTACTAGCAAATATAATCCACCACCTTCAATTATTCAGACTAATATGGCATTTCTTGTAAGAGGAAAAACAACTTTTCATTGATATAGATAAATGAACTAAAAACCTATCACCGAAATCCA